TGGCGTAAAGCGTACAGACAAGAAGTCAGAGTGGAGCCCGCTGCCCCGACGCGAGGCGTAGGAAGGGGGTTTGGGCAGAGAAACGACTGACTCCAGGCCAAGGAGGGACAGTCCCACGGGACAGTGAACTTCCTCCAGGCATGTCCCCTCTGGCCCCAGCCCTGCACCTTCCAGGCATTTGCTAGCCCCCAGGCAAAGGAGGCAGCGGGCTCGCTCCCACGCTCCCTGCGGCACCTCTCCCTTCAACAGCATGCCTTGTCTTTCCTCTGCAGTTGGAAGAGATCCCCGAGGGCTGGAGCCACGAGGATTGGAGCCCCGAGGGCTGGAGCCCCGCGTGATGGAAGCGCGAGCCCTGGAGGCACGAAGCCTGGAGCCACGGGTGCTGGAACCGCGAGTGCTGGAAGCCAGGGCCATGGAGGCCAGGGTCATGGAGCCCCGGGGCCTGGAGCCTCGAGGGCCTGGTCCCAACCCACGTGGCCCCATGCCTGGTGGGATACAGGGTCCCGGGCCACTTAACATGGGAGCCAGTGGCCCACAGGGGCCCCGTCAGGTACACACAGCGCCTCTGCTCAGCTCTTTGGGCTCCGATGTAGATTGGGGCTGGGTGGGGGTGTGATCATGTCCTGCAGCAGCTTGTGAGGGGAGGGTGTCCCACAGAGCAGCACCTCCAGAAAGCACAAGGCCTGAGTTGGTGGCTCTCTGAGGGGTTTGTGGCACCCGTGCCACCTCCCCAGGCACTGCCGGGGACAAGACAAGGTTCGGGCCTCTCTCCACCTCTTCCTGATGTGCAGGAAGTGGAGGGAGAGGAGAGCATGTAATATGCACAGTAGCGTGTCTGTCTTCATGCTCAGGCATCTTCAGGCTGTGAGGGCATCCACCTGATCATCTGCTTTACATTGCTGTGTTTGTATGGCTGAGTCCAGAGACCCTGTGGTCCTTACCCCCTCTCTCGTGCCCGCAGGTTCCTAACATGGTAGGGGCAGGCATGCAGGGGGGAGGGATTCATGGGAGGAGCTGGTCAGCCCGGAGGCTTTAGCCCTGGACAGAGCCAGGTCACCCCACAGGATCACGAGAAGGTAAGCGGATGAAAGGAAAAGGGTGAGACACTGGGAGCAGCACTTCCTACATGCCTTACTGTGGCGGGGACGGCCTCATCCTGACTCCGGTAACCCGTGGCTGCCCTGGCAGGGCTTGTCTCTGATTCTCCCCTCTCCCCACAGGCAGCCCTGATCATGCAGGTTCTGCAGCTGACAGCGGACCAGATCGCCATGCTGCCCCCGGAGCAGCGGCAGAGCATCCTTATTCTAAAGGAGCAAATCCAGAAGTCCACGGGGGCACCCTGACAGGTGATCTCCTTAACCCAGCCTCGGCCTGTGCCTGGTCCCCTTCAGTAAATCAGAGAGCTGCTCAGAATGGGCTCTGCTCTGCGTTTCTCTCCTTAGCGGGGCTCACTCTCCTCTTCCTTCTCGCAGGCCTGGCAGGCGCAGGGTGGAGATGCCGTCCGCCTGGGCAGAGGTGATGCTCCATGGCAGCTGCTTCCCCTTGCTGTCTGAGCTGATGCTATGTTTGGGGAGAGGTTTCTCCCCCCTCACTAACATTTTCCCCTCTCATTCATCTTTTTTTCTGTGTGTATATTTTATGATGTTTGAAATAAAGTGGGAGGAGGGTTTGAGTAAAGCCATGTCTCCGGCTGCCTTGTTTGGTCTCTGGCGGAGGCTGGGGTGGGACCGTTGGGTTCTGGGAGCAGTCTGGCCTGGCTCCAGGCTAGTCCAAACCACTCGCCTTCCTCCCATCTCCCCAGCACCAGGGTGAGAACTACTTGTGGGATTTCTTATGTGCTGTTCGCAGCTGTTCACTGGGGTGTCAGGGAAGGGCAGGATGGGGAGCTCGGCTTTCTGTCCCCGCTGTCCGGGCGGGAAGGGCTCCGTATCCAATTGCCGTATCGCTTACCGTGCCAGCCTGCTGGGGGAGGGTGGATTTCCCCTCTTCTCTGCATAGGCTTGAACAGAATTTCTTGCCTTTGCATGGGCTGCATGGTCAGCCTGTGCGCTGGTGTGTGCCTGGCCGGCAGAGCAGGCTAGCTGTGAGCCCCCGCGGAGGAGCGCCTTACCCTGCACCCCTGGGGGCTTGCTATGAACCAGCTTTTCTACTGCAGCTCCGCAAGGGGGCAAAGAGAGGGCTCCCTTCGCACCTGCACGGACTGTGTCACCACGATGGCTTTTATTGCAAAGGAAAGCAAGTTTAATTTACCTTTTTATGCAAAGGACTGTTTAAACCCAGAGGGGCACATTTGGCCCCCCGTGCCTACCCAGCATGCTTGTGTCCTGTCCCCATCCCCGTCCCATGGTTCTGCCCAGCCCGCTGGGCGCTCGCACCACTTCCCGCTGCTCCAGCAGCAGTGCAGCACATGCCTCTGGTTTCTCAACGGGGAAGCTGCATGGAGCCACAGGCCCACGCTCCCCTCGTGGGGACCCTTTGTAGACCAGGTCGAGAAGGCAGCAGTCTTTGAACGTGGAGTTTCTTGGAAAAGGAGTACCTTGCCGTGTCTGCCTAGCTTTGGTGCACGCACTCTTCAGCAGATACTTATCCCTGGTCATGCTCTTGCATGAGAGGTGAGGCGAGACTGGCAGGGTCCCCTGTCTGCTGGGGTCCCAGCCTGGCTTCTGCTTAAAAGTTCTCCTTGTTGAAGTAGAATTTGACCTTTCTGGGGTCCAGGCTGGAGTGCTGGTGGCAAGACTTCTGCAGGCTCTTCGCCAAGGCCCCTGGCCCACAGAGGAACACGCCAACCACCGACCTGCGCACAGCACGGGGCCATCAGCACCAGGCGGGTGGCTCAGGGAAAAGTGATTTAAGAGCTTCTTTGAGTCCCCGCAACCTGCAGAGGACATGCACACCCCTCCCAAAGCCAGCGGTGTCTGGCTAGGTGCTGGGGAGGAGGGGGTGTCTTCTGGCTCCAGCACCCTGAGTCCCCTGCCCAGCTCTCACCTGGGGTGGGCTGCAGCCACTGCTGCAAACTCAGTGTTCCACATGGGCCGTCCAAAGATGGTTTTGTGCCTGAGGCCTGTCACTGTGTCCGTAGTGGTGTCGAAGTGGATCGCCACATTGTTGGCCTGGGCAGAGCAGGGATGGTGAGGACCCTGGCCGCCACCCATGAGCCCACCTTCATTCAGTCCCTCACCTCAGAGGAACATCCATTGCTGATGCCCATCAAACACCACTCCCAGACTTGCTGCCTGCAAGCTGTTGACATGCTTGCCCTGCCTCTCCTGCCTGCCTTGACTGCACCATGTCCCCCCTTGCAGTCGTGCCCGCCTGCGGTCAACTCACGATGCTGGTGTCCCAGCCGGTGAGGAAGAGCCGGTACGTGAGAAAGTCCGCCTTGCCCGACTCAGCCATCTTCTGCTCCAGCGAGGCAAGCAGGTCGTTGAACCAGGCGAAGGCTCCCGTGTCCCGGCACAGCCAGTAGAAGTAGATCTGGGATGCAGGGGAAGAGGGGTTGCTCAAGGTGGAGCAGAGCAGGAGGGGTGGAAGGATGCAATGTTGAGGAACAGGAAGCCCAGCATGGAGAAACCCATGGCTGTCCTGTGGGGCACCCCATACCTTCTTGGTCTTGAGGGTCTGGTCAGCCTGCTGGAACTTATACCAGATGGACTTCAGGATGGAGGCAAAGGGAGTGACGCCGATGCCTGCTCCCACCAGCATGGCCACCTCGTACTGGAACACATCTTCACTGGCTGTGCCAAAGGGGCCGTCCACCTCAATCCTGACCAAGGGAGGGCCTGGGTAAGAGGTACTGCCTCCACAAATCCCCAAGAGGGTCCGTTTGGGTGGTCCCCAGCCTACCTGGGCATCTCTGTCTTCTGCTGCTGGAAGGTGTCGATGAGACTCTCTGTCCAGTCCCCAGCTGCCCGGATGTGGATGGAGAAGAAGTCCTCCTCAGGTGCCGAGGTGAGGGTGAAGGGGTGCCACTCCAGCAGGGAGATGGCAGGGCAGTTGACAAAGATGTACTGCCCCACCTCCATGCTGAAACCCTTCTTCTGCATCTGTAGCTCCAGCACGCGGGCAGGGTGCATGACCACCTGCGGTGCAGGGATGGGGCTCAGCGCCCAGCCTGGCCCCGTTCCCCGGGCAAGGGGCTTTAGCAGTGGCCCCTGCCCACCTCCCTACGGCCACCCTGGCAAGGAGCTGCAGCACTGGAGGCTGCAAGAGAAGGAGCCAGTGGTAGGTATGGGCTCCCACACTGCCCACCTTGGTGATGACCACCTTCTGCTGTGCACGCCAGACCCGCAGGATCCGCTCAAAGATGTAGAGAAGGACGGGGGCCAGAACCCACTTCCACGACTGCAGAGATGGAGAAAAGCAAAGAGTTGGGGAGGGCCAGGATTGGAGCATCCCAAAGGCAGGGGAAGGGCTTCTCCCTGCTCTGTGGCTGTCCTGCCACTGCCCTACCTCGGCAGGGATGCTCCCAAACTTGGGGTCTTTGCAGCAGTCATGGCTGCAGTCCTCATCCTTGTGTGTGAGATAGTGGGCACAGCGATGGGGGTGCACCTCCTCCATGCTCTCCTCTGTCTGCCCACGCACCAGCCCGCTGTGGGGATGTGAGGGGTGAGCCTGGGGGCTGGCTCCTGCCCCCCCGGCTGGGGCTGAGCTGCACCGTATGAGGCCAGCTTGGCTATCCAGCCCTGGGAATGGGGAGTCCACAGCCCCGCTGGACCCTCTCCAAGGCTCCACCGCTACCCTGGGGCAGGCAGGGCTGCCTCATGGGGGGTCTGTGGCCATTGCCCCTCGCTGTCCTGCATTTGGGGAGCGATGAGGAGCCTTACGCGATGCCATGGATGACAAGGCCAGCGAAGTAGATGAGGAAGAGGTGGTGCGTGTACCAGAAGACCTCAAAGTAGTTCCTGCGGATGAACTCGGTGGAAGACGTGACCATGAGGATGAGCGCCAGCGTGATGATGACCCCCGTCAGCCCGGGAATGGTGGTGAAGGCCACGTACTCGACCGTCTGCAGGAGTGGTGGGATGGGTTAGCAGGGCAAGGGACAGGCACTGACGGGGGGGCTGTACACCAGGGCCAGTGCTCACCGTCTGGTTGGAGTGGATGGGGGTTCGCCCCTTCGGACCTTCAGTTGCGTCTTGGAGAGGACAGCAGGGAGGCTGCCGTCGGTGGCTTGTTGGCTGTGGTTGTAGCGCTCCAGGTTGAAGAGGTGGGCAATGGTGTGCACGGCTGAGCAGGGGACAGGCAGTCACCCACCTGCCCGCCTTCCTATCCCCTCCGTGCCCCAGCCCGGCCCGGGCAGTACCTGTGAGCAGGGCCAGCGCGTAGGCCACCAGCTTGTGGAAGGTGAGGTTGTGGTCCAGCTGCTTCCGCAGCGTCCGCCTGCAGCACTGCGGGGACGGGTGGCAGCATCAGGGCGGGGATGGAGATGGGGACAGGGATGGGGACGGGGATGGCCACACTGGCTGTGCCACCACAGGGCACTCACCGAGCAGGTCCCGCGGAGGAAGGAGAGGAGGTTGCGACAGACGGGCAGCAGGATCAGCATGCTGTTGAAGTTGAGGCACTTGGCCGATGCTCGTGCCCACGCCAAGGCGGACTGGGGAGAGGGGAGAGGGTGAGCGCTGCTGTCCCGTGCTGCAGACGGGGTACGTCTGCCTGCAGCCGTGCTTCCCCCCATGGCTCTGCCCGACACGGTGCTGTGCCAGGACTGGGACATGATGGGGTCAAGTGCTGGGACGGAGTGATGCTGGGCTGGACTGGGAACTGGGAGGGGATGGTACTGAGCCAGGAGAGGAGGGGGACTGGGAGGGAGTGATGCTGGGCTGGGATGATGCTGGGCAGGGACCAAGATGGGGATCAGCACAGAGAAATGTCAAGCTGGGCACTGGGACGGAGCGATGGCAGGCTGGAAGAGGACAGGAGAAGGAAGGGGCATGGGATGCTGCAGCCCCCACCCCACTGCAGGAGGGCTCCGAGGGGCACACGTGCCCAGGCAGTAAGGGTGCCTCAGGGGAGCACCTTACCCCGAGGATGGCCCTGGTGTAGAAGTATCGCTCGTCTCGGTCAAAGAACAGAAAATAGTACGTGAAGAGGAAAATGTTGATGCTCAGCCAGGCTGCCTGCAGGAGAAAGCCACGGCCTTGTGAAGGACCCCAGCCCAGGACTCCCCTCACCCTGCAGCACTTGGGTGTGCGTGCAGCTGGAGGGCATCAGGCCAGCACGTCCCCTCCTGCTTCCTTATGAGCTGTGGCGGCACGCACAGGGCTGGGACACGGGGCCAAAGGTGGGGAGACGTGTGCGAGTCTTGCAAAATTACTGTCTTGTCATTCACGTCTCTGCGCATCACCCACACACGAGGAAGGAGGAAAGGCAGCTGCAGGCAACGCCTGC